ATCTGCAGTTCCTACTATCTCTGATTCAATTTTAACCTTTAGTTCCTTGATTATTTTATAGTTTTGGAGCGCAGTTAATGTCTACCATGAAGACTGATAAAGTATCTGTTCTGTGCCATCTTCAGGTTCCACAATATTATTTCCCTAACCTCATTCTCTAAGAGACCTATGTTAATTTTGCCTCTTGCTTTTTATATATTTAAATAATCTCTTGCTCATTTTTATAGAAGCACCAACTTGCTTTTTGTTTTAAAGTCCTGTTGAAACTTTTGCTTTCAGTTTTTACATTCCTGGCTATCTCTGATACTCTAAATTCTTCCTCCTGATTAACCTTTTCGTCATTATCTGTTAATTGTAATTGTATCAATTGTCTGATCTATGTTAAGATCTAAAAATAGAATAGACCTTAACCACTTATCAGAGACCCACCAACAGCTAGCTCGTTTCTATGACAGCAAAAACTAATTCCAGTCAACTGTAATGAATCCAGCTCTCAGATTGCCTGTTTTGAGATTCTCACCTTGCCGCCTCATTTTCAATGATGCTGACTACCTGACTTTCCTTGCCTGTTCTTGGTAATGCTCACTGTCTTGGTGTCCTCATCTCTCCTTCTCTTCTCTGCTCCGTTAAATAGGGAAACCAGTACTGTACACTGTGCTCCAGATGTGAATACATCAACACGCTGTTTAACTGAAGTATAATCTTGTAATTGTTGTTTCAATTTCCCACCAATTGATTACTTCCTACTAACTTGCGCAATCACTTGCTGCACTTGCATTCAAACCTTTTACAATTAATGTACCAATAGAACAGCAGGTCAAGCAACATTTGGGGAGAAAAACAGTTAACATTTCAGACCGTGATAATATCCTTCTTACATTGCATATGGAGATTATCAAATTGATTATAACTGCAGAATAAATAAATTTAGCTGTTTGAAAACTGACAGTCATGTCTGTCATTGGTTACTTTAGTAGGAAATCTTTGCAAATAATGTATTTGAATTTTAAACACTTTTGATTTTTTTTTTTTTTTTCCCAATCCCAAAAAGCTAATTTTGAAAAAGGCAAGAATGCTCAACTTTTCAACAAAAGGAATGAGTTTAGAGCTGAATACAGCACCCTTGAAGAATTGGAGCTGAAACTAACAAACAACAGGAAAACAGAAAGTAAAAATTCATGAATTTTTGGGGATATTTTGCTTGTAACTCTCAATTTTCTTTTTGCTGTCATAGCAACCTTTGTTTTTTCCCCAATGTAATAAAGAAGAGAACACATTTTTGAATATTACTGAAGAAAAGGAATGTTAAAGTTTTTGTCTTTTAATCATCGAGACAAATGAAAAATATCAAATTTCAAACTATCTCAATTCATGCATTAGGACAGAAGGTTGACTCTAATTGACCATGGTGTTACAAAAAAGGCATGGCGTATAGGACTGGGACAGGTGGAGGGGGGAGGAGAGAAAAGTGGGTTTGGGAGGGAAAGGTCAGGAGTGGAGGGCTCTGCCCCTCTCCCTGCACTCTGCAGGGGAGGTTTTGGCCAAGTGGTATTATCGCTGGATGGTTAATCCAGAAACCCAGATAATGAATCCCGCCACAGCAAATGGTGGAATATGAATTCAATAAATATCTGGAATTAAGAATCTAATGATGACCATGAATCCATTGTCAATTGTTGCAAAAACCCATCTGGTTCACTAATATCCTTCAGGGAAGGAAACTGCTGTCCTTACCTGGTCTGGTCTACATGTGACTCCAGATCCACAGTAATGTGGTTGACTCTTAACTGCCCTCTGGGCAATTAGGGATGGACAATAAATGCTGGCCTAGCCAGTAACACCCACATCCCATGAATGAATAAAGAAACTCTCCCCCCTACATTCCTGACCCCTCTAATCCTCCCTGACCCTTCTCCGCGCTTTCTCACCAGAGCAAATTAAAAATGCATTTTGCATTCCGTATAGTTCTTTGCTTATTACTACTATATTTTTATACCTTGTCAGGTGGAACCTCTCTTCTGAGACTGAGGGCTTTGGATTTAAGCTTTCCTGCTTTCCAATATCTGGCGTTGTTTCAAATTTTGCTTTTTAACATTTCCTCTGAAGTGCCTTTGAGATACTTTACTACATTAAAGGTGCTTTCCAAAATGTTGTACGTTTAATTCATAATTTCTTTGTTTTAATATTTCTTATAACAGATATGAAGGTTCAACAGCAACTTGCAAAAATACGTCACAATGTGAAGAGATTCCAGAGCCAGCTTATGGATGTTAAGCCCACTCCAGAATGTATGTACGACATGCAAACAAAAATGTACGTGTATCAATGATTGTGATGTACTATATAACGTACTATCAAAAGCTATGCAGAAATTCTAAGTCCTTAGTACAAGGAGAATGTTTGGATGTTTCTATAGAATACAAATACTGGCATGGACCAGTTTAGCCAAGTTTTATTTTCTGCTGCCACTTCTTTAATGAGAAAGTGTTGCAACATTCTGGACAACTGACCAGGATCAACTGACATTAGTGCTGTTTTGGTAGTGATAATTTCTTTCTTTGTTTCATTCTCAGTAAGAATTGCACTTCTGTTGTAAACTACCAAATTAGCTCGAACGATAGTGTCCTGCTTCTATCCAGTACTTCATCTCATCATGAGAACTGGGAAGTTTGAATGTTAATTCAGATTTCTATCTTTTTAGGAGGTTTCACCCAAGTTTGGCTTTTGCAATGCTGTAACATTGCAGGATCATTTTGGTCATTTCTACAGAAAGACTTTTAAACAATAGCAGCACAAAAGGTGGCCATCTGGCCCGTACCTGGATCAATTAACAAAAGTCTGACTACACTAATCCCCACTTTCTAGTTCTTAGCTCATAGCCCTGGAGTGAATATCTAAATGTTGTTCAAATGATTTGAGTTTCTGACTCAATCAAGCAATGAGTTCCAAAATCTTAACATTCTCTGGGGCAAAGATTTCTCAACTCCACTCTTAATGTTCTACCTCTTACTTTAAATCTATATCGTCCTTTTATTGACCTCTGTACTAATGGAAAAATGCTTTTCTATCCACCCCATCCATGACCCTTCTTAATCTTATCCCCTCAACCTTCGCTACTCTGCAGAAAACAACCCTAGCATATGCAATCTTTCCTTTATAGCTCAGGCCCTCCAGATCCAGGCAGCAACCTGCTAAATCTCGCTTTCTGCACCTTCTCCAGTGAAATCACATCGTTCCTATAATGTGTTAACCAGAACTATGCCCAGTACTCCAGGTGTGGCCAAACCAACATTTTATATAGTTCCAACATAACCTCCCTCCCTTGAAGTTAAATTCTTAATTACTTTTGATATTTCTTTCATGAAAAGAAAATACATTGAATATTTTTCTCCTAGGTGTTTAGCAAACCTTGATAAATGTTGGATTCTTCAGGCATCAAAGAATAAGTAATTTGTTAACTTTTCTCAGTAATCAAAAACCTTATTATTATGTTGATCTATCTGTGAAAAAAGGGTAGTCATGTTTTTGGCAGTAGAAATGTTGCAAGATTGGGTGGGCCCTGAACAGCAGGCTCGGATGAGGTCAGGAGCATCCAGGGGAAAGGGATCCTCTGATCTCTGGACCGGATTTCAGAGGGACAACTACTTAAATTTGAGAAACAACCGACTGACTTGAACAACTTTTTGTGATGTGAAGTAAAGCAATTCAACAGTCTGTATCCATCTTCATTTTGCTAAATGTTCACATTGTCTGCTGACAATGAACTTGAAGAATTAATTGTGTGTAAAATTAATAAGCCATATCACAGTGGAAATACGCTGTTGCATACCAATATAAAATCAACTGCTATAAATGTCTAAACCTCAAACTGCTTCACTGAGTGACTGATACTTCTGAAACCAATTTATTATCTCTGGTAAACCTGAATTTCTAACTAATGTATGTCACATTTGACTACGAAGTTCTGTGAAATTTAAGATTTAATTATTCTGTTATTATGGTCCACAAACTTGCTTTGTAGCTTTTAGGTGGTGAGTGATAGTGACCTTGTGATGAATCTTCATTTTATCCCTTTCTGATTTGAAGATGGTCAGTTTCATTTTAATATTACTGATTTCATAGCAGTTGAAATGGATTATTTCCTCTAATGCTTATTTGTTTGAAAAGGTTTAAATGAATCACTTACAATTATTTGATTTATACAGTAATGAGAATAATGGCATTTGCCAACATATATTTACTAATGTATTAATAAATGTGATGCTCTTAGTTGTAGAAAAGTTGAAAGAAATCATGGAAGAGGTTGAAAATGCAATCAGTACCTTTAAAGAAGAACAAAGGCAGATGTAAGTTCTTGTATATCTGCACTTCTCGGCACCATGACAATTCAGACCTTTGAGTTGAATTATGTGTGTTAATGCTATGGCTGAAAAAGTGAAGTAAAATTCCAAAGCAATGAAAATTAAAACTGAATCTTTAAAGCTGAGGTTTCAAACTTGAATTGACTGCAAATTTGTTATTAATCACGATACACATTTCCAATCTGTGAACTTATTTTTCAACATCTGTGCAGAACAAATTTAAATTTACGAGCATAAAAATGAATTCTGTGTTACACTGAGCTTTGGTGCCACTTTAACACTTATTATGATTTCAGAGTTTAGGGAAGAGTGGCTGTAGCAGAAATTAACTATCTGAACCCTTTATTGTCATTGCCATAATTCAACGAAGATAAGCAAAACAGTCAATGGCAGAATTAGAAATGATAAATTTAGGTTGTTACTAGAGAACAATTTATAAAGTTATGATTAAATATGTTAGTAATTTGAAATGTCAAGCTGGGAGCAATTTGAAATGATAAAGGGACCATCTCAACTGTCATCCTCCCTGTTACTGAGTCATGAAAGGTTTACCTTGGAGGAAATTTGAATTCCCCCACATGCTCCATTTCACCACTGTTTTAATACCTTCATTCTCTGCTGGGGCAGTTTAATGGAATACTGCTAAAGAAATTTGCATTGGCATCCGCTACCTTTCACATGCATGATGTTAGTGGGTATGATGTTAATACATGGTGCTTCTAGTGCATTAAACTATCTGTTGGAATATAAACTTAGATATTCAATAAATTTCAGTTAGCAGGGAAATAACAGCATGTGAATCTATTCTTTATATTTTATGAAAAATTAGAATAAGCACTATTATCCTCTCTTTCCAGTCTGTTTCCTTGTAGCATTTGCTCAAGAGTGAATTTCATAGCACATAGCAGGATATCAGAGAATCTGGTTTCTTTCACTTTAAGATACATGACCTGGCAGCACTAGAATTATAAAGGGATCTGTGATGACATGATACACCAGAACATTTGAATTAGTTGAATTTTGTCTAGAATAAGGTTAGATTTATCAATCGGGAATGGATTCAGGCTGAGGGTATGCAAACCATATAAAAACATTTTGTAGTTGTACGTACCCTTTTTTTTTAACCTGCATCATTAGATTTGTACCAGAGAGCACCTTTGAAAATATAATTGTGTTTCCATTCATTTTTAATAAAGGTATGAAGAACTTCTGAAGGAAGAAAAAACTACTACTCAGGAAATTTCGGCTGTGGAAAAAAAAATGGAAGTGTGGGCCCAGATTCCAACAGAAGCAGTGATAGTCAAGTCCATTGTAGCAAAAGGAATATCCACTAACTCTGGTCCAGAGAATGTGTTAGTTGAAATTACGGAATTTGATAAGTTCCTTCAGCAGACTGGACGCCAAGGTGGTTGGGATGATTTTGATCATCAGGACTTTCTCAAAGTCTGGACAAAACATAAAGGAAAAGCATCATTCATTGAGGAAGCTCTGCAACATTTGGTTGGGAGGACCCGTGAGGATATAATGCAACATGTGCAATGGTATCAAAAGTTTCTCTTCCTAGAAGAGAGGCAGAAGGAGGTAGGAATTTGAGGAAATATTTGTTTAAAATATTTTAAAGTACTGGGTATGATGTAACTTAGGAGTATGATGTTTTTGTTTCACCAGCAATCTACATTATTCTTCCTCGTTAAATTTACTACATGTTAGAACATGTTGCATTTCTGTAGAAATCGCTATAATTCCTAATCAATTGCAAAATGATTTTTATATATTGTTATCGCTTGATTTTGTAAGTAAATACAATGAATAAAATTTATGATTACATCCTATACAATTCAGGAGTGTAGCAAGTAGAGCTTCAATAAATGAGAATATTCTTTAGGTTCACACTCTCAATTTCCATTAAGAAACATGGTGATGAATTGTTTCTGCAGAAACTCAAAATCGGAGAGTCAGTACTGTAGTGCTTATGTGCAGATCCTAGCATTTTGAGATTAAATTATTTGATGTCATAGAATTAACCCCTAAATCTTCAAAGTTTGTCTGTTTGTTCAGGTACTGATTCAATGTCATAACAGTTGATAAGAATCTCTGATGAATTTACCTTGCAGGCTATTCAGAAATGGAAAACAAAGAAGCAACATGAGAAAATGAAGCTCCTGAGGATGCAAGCAGAAGCGGAAGAGAAGACCGATGCAGAACACCGAGCAAGAGAAAAAGCAAAACAGCTTAGGCTTGAGAAGGAGAGAAAAGAGCGAGAAGCTCAGTTGCAGTTGTGGAAGAAAGAGAAAGAACTGGAACTTGCTCTCGAGAAAGAACAACAAATGAAAGAAGAGGCAGAGAAAATGAAAATACAAAGGAAGGAAAATCAAAGACGGCTTGAAATTAAAAGAATGCTCAAAGATTCTGCTGAACAAAAGAAGGAGAAAGAAGAGTTTCTACGACTGGAAGCACAAATGAGAGAGGAAGCTGAAAGAGAAGAAAGGCAGTGGCTTGTGGCGAGAGAAATCTGCAGATTTCAACAGCGGGTGGGTCTTGTATAAAGTAATTTGTACATGAAATTGCTAAATGAGAAAATTTCTTCTAGTTCATTTCTTAATAGTTAAATATGTAAGAATGCTCCTTGTATTTTCTTGGTGTTTAATAAAAAATGTTGCATTTTAAAGAAAAGCTTTAAGGTGTAATCTTAAAGTATGTCACCTCCTGTACTGTGCTGTACTGTTCTATGTTCTATGTTCTTACATTTTATAGTCATGCATTTAATTACATGGTGCTTCCACTTGCAATTTCTACATGAAGGTAACAGTAAGGGTAATCATATTGCAATTGCTGAAGACTTTTTTTCATACCATACAGGATTTTCAAAAGTTGGAAAGCAAATTAGCAGAAAAACGAATGAAGCAAGAGAAGGAGGATGAGCGAGAGAAGAGGTTGGCCAAGCTTAAAGAGAAGGTTTGGCAAATACTGAGTTTAATATGAGTTTAAAAACTCATGCTGGTTGGAAAACACTGATTTAACTCCACTTGTTAATGTGAACTTTTCTAAAGGACAGTGCTTCAGGTGGTTTAGACTGCTACTTATTAACAGGCTGGTGAATAAGGTAAAACTATCTGCACTCGGGTATATTTGTAGCTAGTAATCAAAATGCATTCTCATGGATGTCTGCTGTTTTGGTTCTTCCAGTAAAGAACAGTCACTATTGGCTCTTAAAAGCCTGATCTAGTTTTGAATGTTCAAGTTCAATACTTTTTTAAAAATTTAGTTTTGAAGGTATGAACTTTAAGACAGAGAATTATCTCTAATTGTAGTTGCCCAGATTCGAGCCATTGCAAGCGTTAACCATGTGGTAGTGAATCTCCACACAGTTTCAGCTTGGCAATGTCTATGTTTCTGTGGATAGTACTTGCAAGTTTAATTAGCTTGTAAAGTGATGAATAATATTACAAGTAGTCGGTATTTAAAGTGCTTAAGTGGAAGAAGGATGAATAGTTGGTTAAACATTAAGCAGCAGTACATGTTGGAAATCCTATAATGAAAGAAACATAGCATTAGAAACTCTCGTAACGATTTGTGCCGAACACTATCTATCCATCTAATTGACTTGTTGCATACCTTGCCATTAACTTTCATACTGCAATTTTAGAGCTAACAGTATTGGAGTCTAATTTCTGGCAGAAGTTCATCTATTTCTAAATGTCTGACCTTTTTTGAAATTTACATTGGCTGTCAGTTCCGTCAACTGACTGAAAATTCTGCAACTCTTACTAAAATCTGTTGACTAACCTTTTTGTGTTCCTTTGATGCCCACAGCTTCAATTTGATTGCTTTCCAGTGAAATTGCATATTTCTCATTGCGCAGACTAAATTTAGCTGCAGTGGTCCTGATGTATTTTCACTAAAATCTAGTGTAACATTTTAATCCCCCTTGATTTATGTCAAACCTCTTTCTAAAACATTTCAACAATCTGCTTTCTCGACTGCACATTAGTTGGTATCTGTGATCACTTGGTACAAGGCAAATCAATCACTATCGTTAGATAATACAACATATTTTTGGAATATTCAGATAATCAAATCACTTACAAGCTAACTTATTCAAGTTAATTAGAATCTATAGAATTTGGAAGATGATCGTCAGTCCATTGACTATCTATATAGCCACCTCCTTCAACACTCTGGTATGTCAGGTCCTGGGGAATTATCAACTTTCAACCCAATTAAATTCTCCAGTACAATCATTTACTAATTTTCTTTAGGTCTTAATTCTCCCTAGCTACATGGATCTCAAGTTCTGGGAGATTTCTTGTGTCTTCCTCAGTGAAAATAGATCTCAAGTTAGCATTGAGATTCTCTACCATTTCTCTATCCCCGATAATAAATTTTTCTGACTTTGCCTGTAAAGGACCCAAATTTTGTTTTATCTAAATGTTTTCTTTTTATATAGCTATACAGTCCATTTTTATTGCTAGATTCCATTCATGTTCTATTGTCCTTGTTCTTTCAGTTTCTTGGGCCTCCTTTGCTATATTCTAAAAAGCTCCCAATCCTCATTTTTACTGCGATTTCTGGCAACATTACAGGCCTCTTTTAATCTTATGTAATCCTGAACTTCCTTTGCTAGCCATGGTTAACTGACCTTACAAAGTTTTTGCTCTTTGAAGGATTGTACAGAACTTGAAAACCATGTAATATTTATTTAAAGACTGTTAATTGCCTTTGTAATATCATGCCTGTAAATCTACTTTCCCAATCCATCTCAGCTAATTTGTGCCTCATGCTGTCATAATTTCCCTAATTTAAGTTTAATATCTTCCTCTAATTTTGTGGTAGATGTCACAGCTGTGAGGGTTCTAATATTTTATTAATCCTATTTGCTTTACTTGCTTTAGCATATGATACGCATAACAAGCGGATCAAGGAAAGTGGAATTTTCCCTGCACCTCTTGTCTGTCCCAGGGGTTCTTTTTAAATAATATCGTAAACAATATCATGAGAACGTTGTGCAATTTACATTTACTCAGCAGGAAATATGAGTAAATCACATATAAATTATCATCTTTGAGGTAATATCGCTGGTCTAGTAATCCAGAGGCCAAGACTGGCAACAGCAGTTCAGATTTCACCATGTTCATTGATGCAGTTTAAATTCAATTACTAAATCTGGTATTTAAAGCTAACCTCAGTTATGATGTCCATGAAACTATCAACAATTATCATAGAAGCTCCCCTGATTGCCTAGTGCCTTTTAGGGAATTAAACCTGCCATTATCACCTGGTCTGCCATTTATATGAATCCACAACCATATAATTTTAAACTGCCTCTATCAAGCTATTTAGTTCAAAGGCATAAAGATCTGCTATAAATCCCCATTTTGGTGGTGGGTTTAGTAATCAGCGTCCTGGAAGTCATATTCACATTAAATTAACGGAAAAAATCTTCAGTAGTTATTAAAAAACTTAAATTGGCAGGATTTGATCTCGATGGCTGTTGTATTTCTTGAATGCTGCCATATTCATAGAATCCCTATAGTGTGGAAACAGGCCATTAGGCCTAACAAGTCCACACTGACACTCCAAAGAGCATCCCACCATTATCCTGGTAACCCTGCATTTCCCTTTGCCTAATCCACCTAACCTACACATCCCCAGACACTATGGGCAACTTAGCGTGGCCAATCCACCTAGCCTGCACATCTTTGGACCGTGGGAGGAAACCAGAGCAGGGGGAGTATGAATCAGTTTGCTCAGTTGGCTGGATGGTTGGTTTGCACCGCAGAGTGATGCCAACAGCACGCATTAAATTTCCGCACCAGCTGAGGTTATGATGAAGGACTCTCTTTCTCAACCTCTTCCCCTCCCCAAAGCATGGTAATCCGCAGGTTAAACCGCCACTAGTTGTTGCTCTAGTGTGAAAGAGCAGTCCTATTGGGCTCTGGGACTATGGCAACTTCACCTTTATGGAAGTGGTAGCTGTGGTTACATGGAGAGAATTGGCTTGAAGTTAAATTTGAGCTGGTGAACAAAATGAAGGTGAATGTCTGTTTTCCCAAATGAACAGAATTCTGAAATCCATCTACTTTATCCTGATACCATGTAACTCCCTGAAAATCCTCCTAAATAGTGCACTAGGAAACTATTTCTTCTTGAATTTGGATTGGGGAAATTTATAAAGTTGATGGCATCCGCTCCTTGTTTTGCTCAACAAAATACCCATTCAGCTGGTTTTTGAACATAATCTTGTATAAAAATAAAGTGTCATTGAGCCTCTGACAAAATGAATCTTAATGTGGTGTTGTCCCATACAAGCTAAGGATAGCCTTAGGTTCAACCATGCGTCCTGAGTGAATTGATATTCAGGAGGGGTAATATTAGTTTGTTTGTTTGTTTGTTTTTGTTCCTGAAAAACAAAATTGCTGGAAAAGCTCAGCAGGTCTGGCAGCATCTGTGGAGGAGAAAAAAGAGTTAACGTTTTGGGTCTGGTGACCCTTCCTCAGAACTGATGGTGGCTGGGAAAATGTCAGTTTATATGCAGAAAATAGGGAGGTGGGTGGGGTAGGGAGTAAACGATAGGATAGAGCCCAAAGAGAGAGAAAGACAGTTGGACAGACAGATGAGTTGCTAACGATCAAGCTGGGAGGGTGAGTAGTTGTTAATGGGGACTGTTAGTGACTAACAACAGGGGGTGTGTAGTGGCAGGCTATGTGGTAACAAGGCCTGGTGTGTGGGGTGAGGGCTGGGACATGGGAGAGTTTAGGCCCTAAAATTATTGAACTCAATATTGAGTCCGGAGGGCTGTAGGGTCCCCAAGCGGAAAATGAGGTGTTGTTCCTCCAGCTTGCGTTGAGCTTCACTGGAACACTGTAGCAAGCCGGAGACAGAGATGTTGGCCAGGGAGCAGGGTGGTGCATTGAAGTGGCAGGCAACATGTAGTTCAGGGTCTTTTTTGTGAGCAGAACCTAGATGTTCTGCAAAGCGGTCGCCAAGTCTACGCTTCGTTTCCCCAATGTAGAGGAGACCACATTGTGAGCAGCAAATGCAGTAGACTAGATTCTTGGAAGTGCAGGTGAAGTGTTGCTTCACCTGGAAGGTATGTTTGGGTCCTTGGATTCTGGGGAGGGAGGAGGTAAATGCGCAGGTGTTGCACCTTCGCCGGTTACAGGGGAAGGTGCCGTAGGGCTGTGGGGAGGTGTTGGGGGTGAAGGAAGTGTGGACCAGGGTGTCCCGGAGGGAATGGTCCCTGCGGAAGGCAGACAAGGGAGGGGAGGGGAATAGGTGTCTGGTGGTGGCATCTTGCTGGAGGTGGCAGCAATGGCGTCGGATGATCTTCTGGATGTGGATACTGGTGGGATGGTAGGTGAGGATAAGAGGAACCCTATCACTGTTGCGGGAGGGAAGAGAAGGGGTGAGGGCAAAAGTGCGGGAGATGGGTCAGACCCGATTGAGGGCCCTGTCGACAACAGCTGGGGAATCCTCAGCTGAGGAAGAATGTGGACGTTTCGGATGCTCCCTTGTCGAAGTTGGTCTCATCTGAACGTAAGAGACGGACTCTGAGGAACTGAGAATGGGATGGAGTCTTTACAGGAAGTGGGGTGTGAGGATGTATAATCCAGGTAGCTGTGAGAGTCAGTGAGTTTGTAATGAATATTAGTGGCCAGTCTATCCCCAGAAATGGAAACAGAAACGTTGAGGAAGGGAGGAGTCAGAGATAGACCAGGTGAAAGTGAGGGCAGGGTGGAAATTGGAGGCGAAATTGACGAAGTTTTCCAATTCTAGACGAGAGAGGGAAGCAGCACCGATGATATCATCGATGTATCGGAGAAAGAGTTGTGGGTGGACTCAATATTGAGTTCAATAATTTTAGGGCCTAAACTCTCCCATGTCCCAGCCCCTCACCCCACACACCAGGCCTTGTTACCGCATAGCCTGCCACTACACACCCCCTGTTGTTAGTCACTAACAGTCCCCATTAACAACTACTCACCCTCCCAGCCTGATCGTTAGCAACTCCTCTGTCTGTCCAACTGTCTTTCTCTCTCTTTGGGCTCTATCCTAGCGTTTACTCCCTACCCCACCCACCTCCCTATTTTCTGCATATAAACTGACGTTTTCCCAGCCACCATCAGTTCTGAGGAAGGGTCACCAGACCCAAAATGTTAACTCTGTTTTCTCCTCCACAGATGCTGCCAGACCTGCTGAGCTTTTCCAGCAACTTTGTTTTTGTTCCTGATTTTACAGCATCTGCAGTTCTCTTGGTTTTTATTAGATTGTTTTTGTTTTCAGTTACTACTGAGGATCATCATCATGATGACAAGCTTAGATTTGCTACTGCTCAGCTTCATTCACAAACATAGCCATTTAGATTACTTACACTCAAGTTAAGTGTCAATAAAGCCGTAGCTTAATGTCAATGGTCACCTTTTGGAGAGGGGAAGACAACTGCTTCTGAATTATTTCTGTCTTTTCCATTCAGATTGATGCTCAGATACAACGAGATCCATCAAGACTACTAAAACCCACCAAAGGTTGGGAGGAACACACAAAAGAGATGGGACAGAATGGTGGTGGTCCTATGCTGTTTCTTCCCCATCGGTAAGTGATTATCATGAGAACAAATCTCTTAATATTAAAAAGATAAACACACTTAAATTTGCTTTGCTTTGCTTTGTCTCCATGTATAACCATTTTATTTCCTGTTATTTTTCAGGGCTATTCCATCTTGGAGGCAAGGGATATAACAATATTATTCCATGAATATTGAAGAATTCTACTGATTAGTAGAAGTATATATTGTCTATTATTAAATAAATTATGACAAACTTTAAAAATAATTAAATGGTTGAGTTAGTTAAAGTTGTAAAATGGCAAAAATATATTTCTAAAAATTAGGAAAGGGAATAAGTGTTAATGATTTGGGGGAAAAAAAGGAAATGAGATAAATGTGAATGCGCAAAGCAATCAACGTAGAATTTGAAGGAGAGTTAGAAATATTAGTAACTGGAACAGCATGATAATGCAAGCTAGGGTTTGGACAGACAAAAACAAAGTGCTGGAGAGACTCAGCTGGTCTGGCAGCATCTGTGGAGAGAAAACATTAACATTGAGTTCAGTGAGCCTTCTTCAGATCCAATTTCTTGGGTTTAGACAGTAGTGGGAATTTAATATTCCAGGTTATTACAGTTTGAGTTAATATAAAGGGAAATGAGGGTATGGTACCACTGCTGGTAAAGAATAACATCATATCACTCAAGCACAAAAATATCCTGAGGACAACATTATGACACTGGTTAGAATGAAAAATAAACGTAAATTCTATAAATGTACATATTGTAAATGACCAACAGTTGATATGAGAGAAGAGTGGAAATTCTGAGGTGACTTGGCAGAGATATACGATAATAAAACAGCAAAGTTGGCGTTAATTTGCTCATTTGTCACCCTTACCTTGAGCTGTGATAGCTATTGATCCAATTAAAATTTTAATCTATTTATGAACCCATTTGCAGCATTGCGGTTTCTACCTCTAACTTAATTTAGTCCTACAACGCTGTTCCTCTAATTCCTTCTTGAACTACAACAATAATGGAGCTGGGGGTACAGGGCATAATTTTAGCATTTTTAGATGACAGTATTTTCAACTTGTGAACTGTGAGGAGGATAGTGATAAGCTGCAAGAGGACATGGACATGCTGACAAATTGGGCAGAATCTTGGCGGAGAATCCAGAAGTGATGTATTTTGGGAGGGGGATAAAGGGAGACAACATAAACTGAAGGGTACAATTGTAAAAGTGGGTGCAACAGAAATAAAGATACCTGAGTTTATATAGGCACCAATAATTGAAGATGGCAGGGCAAGGTGAAAACTTAAAAAGTGCATCTTCAGCTTTCTAAATAAGGAAACAACATAAGACAGTGCTGTAGCATCAACTGAATTATTGTATCCAATTCTGATAACTAAATTTTAGGAAGGATGTGAAGGCTTTTGACAGGATATACAAAACATTCACAAGAATTATTTGGATTTAGGAACATCTGTTATATGGATATGTAGTGGAAGTTGGGTTTGTTTTCCTCAGAAGAGGAGCTTGATAAAAATTCAACGTAAGTTTTCAAACTTTGAGGCTTGAGAACCAACAGTAATACTCAAAGTTTGTTGGGGGTGGGGGGAGATAGGGGCAAGATTCGAGAAGCAAAGAATGAGAAAAGACTAGCAGCTAACAAAGGGAAATCTCAAAGTCATCTTGGACATTTAAACAGTCAGAGTATGGTTAAAGGAGGACAAGGACTGAGCAGCAACTAAAAGAGGGGATTTACACATGGAACAGTGGTATGGCAGAAGTGTTAAATGAATACTTTGCATCTGACTTTACAAAAGATGTTGCTGCCCAGTCCATGGTAGCAGAGGAGGAAACTCCGTCCCTAGAAGGGTTCAAAATTAATAAGGAAGAAACCTTGACTAGATAATTGTCACCTAAAGCTGACAAGGTATTGGGACTGGATAAGATAATCAGTCATACAGCACGGAAACAGACCCTTCCGTCCAACCTGTCCACGTCAACCAGTCATCCCAGTCTGACTTAGTCCCATGTGCCAGTATTTAGCCCCTATCTCTCTCAACCCTACCTATTCATATACCCATCCAGATGCATTTTAAATGTTGTAATTGTACCCGCCTCCTCCACTTCCTGTGGTAGCACCACCCTCTGCATGAAAAGGTTATCTCTCAGATTTGTTTTAAATCTTTTCGCTCTCGCCTTAAACTGCTGTCCAGTTTTGAACTCCCCCACTCTAAGAAAAAGACCTTAGCTATTCACCCTATCCATGCCCCTCACGATTTTATAAACCAGGATAAGGTCACCCCTCGGCCTCTGACACTCTGGGAAAATAGCCCCATCCTATTCGGCCTCTCCCTACAACTCAAACCCTCCAGTCCCAGCAGTATGCTTGTAAATCTTTTCTGAACCCTCACAAGTTTAATGAAATCCGTCTATAGAAGAGTGACCAGAATTGCATGCAGTATTCCAAAAGTGGCCATACCAATGTCCTGTACAGCCACAGTATGCTGTCCTAACTCCTATACTTAAAAGTTCTGATCAATGAAGACAAGTGTGCCAAAAGCCTCCTTTACCACCCTGTCGACCTGCAACTCCACTTTCAAAACAACTATGCACCTGCACCACTAGGTCTGCTGGTTGGGCAACGCTCTCCAGAGTCCTATCATTAATTGTGTACGTGCTGCCTTGGTTTGCCTTACCAAAATGCAACACCTCGCATTTATCTAAATTAAACTCCATCTGATCAAGGTCCTGTTGTCTCTGAGGTCACCACCTTCACTGTCCACCACGCCACCTTTTTTTTGTAATCCACAAACTTAGTAACCATACCTCCTATATTCACATCCAAGCAGTAGACCCAGCACCAACCCTTGTGGCATACCACTGGTCACAGACCTCCAATGTGAAAAGCAACCCTCTACCACCACCTGTTGTCCCCTCCCTTCAAGCCAATTTTGCATCTTATTGGCTAGCTCCCCTGGATCCCATGTGTTTTGCTTTCTACTTCAGCCTCAAGCTGGTGAGTATCCAAAGTTTTAACAGAACAAGTAAGTGATTGAATTGTTAAAATGTTAGTCCTCTAAAACATGGGCAGTAGTTAAAATCGGTACTGTTATTACATTACATGTATGGCTAAACTAGTTAAACTGCTTGGTATAGCTATCAATAAAACTTTAGTGTTTCTGAATGCAACCTAATTAGGTATCTTATAGATAAGATGGCAGAATAGTTAATATGTTCCAGCTGTCTCGCATGAAGACTCGTGAGACTCCCAAAGGCAGCCAGATCTCTAGTGAGTCTCTTCAGTTTAAGGAACTTCAGCTCCAAGTTGATGAACTGAAGTTTGAGCTTTGCAAAATTTGGGAAGATATTCACACCTCTTAGCTCGGTCTGTACTCGGGGACGTGAGGAAGACAGGTATGGGAATCTAGATATAGCAATGCAGGAACTTCAGCACTTGTAGTTGTTCACTGGTTTAAGTTTCCTACAATTTTTGTGGACAACACTTTAGGGCTGCAGGGTAGATGGCCAAACTGCCCACAAAACACTGTGTGGCAGGGAGCCATTCAAGTGAAATAGGGTGGAGTAAAAAGTAAAATAATTGTATCAGTGACAGTATAGTTATGGGAATAAATACTGGTCACTGCAGCTGCAAGTCTGGTTCTGAAGATTGCCAAGTTCCAGGATTGAGAGCTTTTTCTCAAGGCTGGAGTGGAATTTGGAGAGGGGATGTATACAGTTGTCACAGTCCATATGGGTACCAACAACTAAGGAGTTTCATACTGAAGTATGAACAGCTAGGGGCTAAATTAAACACATGAATACAAAGGTAATAATCTCTGGATTAATACCTGAACATATTGGCATAGGGTAAATAAAATCAGTTGAATGGAAGACTCATTGCTATGGGTGAAATGTTATTTCATTCATGGAACTCAGCACCAGCACCTGGAGAAAGAGGACTGTTAGTAGTCTTCAGCTGAATTGCGCTGGGACCCGTGGACTGACGGATTGTATAACTAGGGCTGTAGAGTGAGTTTAAAATAGTGGGTGGAGGGAAGCGTTCATGAGTGGCGATTTGGAAATTTTGAGAGGGGATGAGTCAGTCATGCAGATTAGCAACGCAGGTAATGATGTGTAAAGGAAAGGGATAGTGTGCACAAACAATAATGTATCAGCAAACAATAGTTAAAATTAGTTTAAAAAGAATGTAGTAAAGGTTCTTTATCTGCATTATGCAGTGTAATGATGCATAAATTAATTGCACCAATATAAATAGGTGAGGAGGGGCTCTAGTGGAGCAGTGGTAGTGTCCTTACCCCTGGACTGGGAGACCCGGGTTCAAATGTCACCTGCTCCAGAGATGTGTAAAAACATCTCTGAATAGGTTGATTAGAAAAATTGCTTATATACATGAGTATGTCATGAAGTTGACCAGGACTGGGACCTAGATGTTCAAGCGTATTTGACAGATCAGGAAAAAAAAAGTAAAAGGAGGTGGAGTGATTCAGTTTCTAAAGGACAGTATGAGTACAATAGTGAAAAATAACAGTTTCAGAATCAAAATGCAGAACCCATTCTTGTGGAGATATAGTAAAGCAAATAAGTCGCTTGTCGGAGTGGTATGTAAGCCCCCTGACAAGTAGGCACGCTGTAATATAATTATTGCAATTAATGTTTATTGTATTACCTTTCTTATCATGGGAGATTTTTTAAAAAATGATTTGGATGAATCAAACTGGCGGAAGTATCCAGGATAGGTTAATTAACCTATGAGTTGTGGGGATTATGGGACAGAAGCAGCAAAGTGATGTTATGGCATAATCAAAGCCATCGTGCTTTTGCAGGATGGCAGACCAGGCTCAGTGAGCCAAATGGCTGACTTGTTATTGTGACCTATCCACATTTTTCAGTACTTGTGAAGCACAGAATCATATAACTACGCAAGAGGAGGACATTTGGTCCTGTGTGTCTTCACTAGCTCTTTGATCATGATTACTTGGTGCCATTCTCCTGCCCTTTGACGCTGCACGTTGTTTCTGTTTAAATAACGATCTAATACCATGTTGAATGTCTCAATTGAACCTGGATTCTCACTCCTAGGCAGTGCATTCCATACCCAACTCAATTGTTAAAAACGCTGCCTCAATGTAAGTCTTCAGCGTAGGGATTATAACTAAAACACGTTGGGACGGTTTTGAAGCTAAAGGCTTTGTCCCATTAGAACGAGACAAGCTTGAAGTGCCGTGTGTTAATTTCGCTATTGCCTTAACGCAACCTAACGTTGGTTGAAGTTATTGAAGAACAGCTTATAGATTCCAAAATTTGTTCAAATAATGGGCAATTCGGAGGGAACAGGAAGATATTATCATACTTTTTTTTGTCGAAACTGTTGAGGTTTGTTTGAACCTTTGCACCTTTCAAAGTACGTAATTTCGCTCGACAGGGATAAACGTGACGCTGTTTTAAAACTTTGTAACTATTCGTATTTAACCAACCAGATGTAAATTGTTGCAGGATGTAAAGGCTTGCCTTCACGTCATGGGGGTACATCCGCTATTTCTGAAATGAGTTTTACGTGAGATCTGTTCTTCACAGTGAGAGAGACCCGGAGCGGGACGCATGCGCGCGGGAGTTGTTGGTTTCTGATTGGCTGCAGTGGGCCGGAGGCGGAGCATGTTCGGCTTGCGGAGAGTCGGGGGGCGGGGCGTGTCCATGGCGATCCAACATGGCCGAGGAGACGGCGCCTTGTGAGCATCTGGAGTTCCTGAAGGATCGGCATATCTGCTTCTTCGAGCGATGTCTAAAGATCTTACCCGAGAGGTACTGCTCACTGGAGACCAGCAGGTAAGGGTCGGCTCCGAATCGGGTGAGGGAGGATCGGGTGAAGCGAAACGGGGTCGGATGGGCCTCTGCAGAGGGGTCTGTAAGCTCGGCCCGACCCATCAGCCCTTTCCGGGGGACCCTTCCCGGGTAGGGGGCAACATCCTCTCCGCTACTCCTGGGGTAGGAGCAGGGTCTTCAACTGGAGCCGGCAGCTATCAGAGGTTGCATGTTGGGTGGGGCGATGGAGATGATAACTGGAAACTGCATTGTGTATGGGAACGCATTGGGTTGTTTCTCGTAATTTACAAGTTGTGAAGCACGGGAAGAGGCGGCGTCTTTCGTCAAACATAACTTCACCATGAAAGGTGATTTATGGTGCTTATTTTCTCGAAGGCCTTGACTGCTCGGTGAGGTTGTTGCACAGTTTTGAGATGTGTTGTAATTACCCGTGCAAGCCCTGGTTTGTACGTCACTCCTGGGACACCCCTAAATCATTAACTTTGTCATTAGAACTACTTAAATAGAGTGGTACACACTTGCGTCGGTACTTCAGGTTTTTATGAATCACCATGAGGGAATTTTGTGACGCAGTATACAGTACAGAACGCGACCCTTTGTCCCCGTGTTCATCACACCCCTGCTGTTTCTGCGCATTCCTGTAAATGTTTCCCTTTAAGAATTTATCCAATTTATTTCTTTATGCTCACTGAATCTGTTTTCAGTTGCTCTTCCTGGCAATGCCTTTCAGTTCATAAAGCACTTTCACATATAAAAGTGAGGAAATTATGCCAAATATTTATAAAGCAATTTTATAAAGATTGTTGGGGTGCAGAAGAGCTTTATTAGAATGTTGTAACAAAACCAAAGGAAACTACTGGTGTTGAATGTTTACCAGCAGATCGTTTTCAAAAGTGTGAAACTTGCACTCTGTCAACATTTACGAAGTACACAAAGTAACCATGAAGGTATGGCAAGCAATTAAGCTAAATGGCATTTTGTCTTTATTACAAAGTGCGAGAAAGCGATCAGTGCAGTAAACATGAAGAGAAAGGACTTGTCCTTTATTACAAAGAACGTCCTGCAAGTAAAAGTACAGTATAATGAAGTTGTAATACAACTGGGGAGGATTTTGATGACACCATGTCTGGAGTACCGTGCACATTTTGGTCTCCACATTTTAAAGAAAAAACTTGTATTAGAAGCGTTGTTAAGACTCATTGGGATGGTACTATGGAAATCAAGCCCTGCTAAATTCAGTCACAAAATTTGAAGATTTTATAGAAGTACAAAAAATTCTGCAATTTGCCTGATTTTTTTCAAACCCAGGTGGACAAAGCATGAACTAGATTTCTATACCTGACAAAAATTGCCTTTACATATAAATGGACTCTAGCTTCATGTAAACAATTATAAATCGTTAGCATATAATCCTATCGGTTAAACTCTAACTGCATTATAAACTCTGTCATAGACAAAGGTGTGTAGACAGGAAACAAAAACATGGATGGAGGGCAAACTGGGAAAGCAGTTCACTTTTATTTCCACAGAATCTACTGAGGTGGTTTGTGTTGATCAGAATGCTGCTTTTCATGTTTTCCTTCTGAAGCTTTCATTCGTTTACATGAGACGTGAGGTAGGATCAAGATGTAGGATCAAACTGGGCAAAGTATGGCAGATAGTGGAATTTGAATTCAACAAATATCTGGAATTACGCATCTAATGATAACCATGAATCTATTGATTTGTTGGAAAAACCTTTCTGGTTCACTAATGTCCCTTAGGGTAGGAAACTGCCATCCTTTCCTGGTGTGGCCTACATGTGACTCCAACCCCACAGCAATGTGATTGACTTTTCACTGCCCTCTAGACAATTAGGGATGGGCAATACATGCTACCTAGACAGTGACACACTCACACCGTGAATGAATTTTAGAAAACAGTAAAGGAAAGAACCCCCTCGTGCAAGTTGTAGTCCAAGACATGGTATAAACCAGGTATTGCTGTGACAATAATCATGGGTGATAGGCATATAGACTGGATTAATGTTAATGGCAATGTTAACCTTGGAGAGTTCATAGTCTATTAGAGATTGCTGTAAGAAACAATATGTTGGGGAACCAACCAGGGAGCATTTTCTTTTGTATTTAGTATTGTGTAACGAGATAGGGTTAATTAATGATCTTGTAGTAAAAGATCCTCCTAGGGAAGAGTGATAATAACATGCTGAAATTTCAAATACAGTTTGAGGAAGAGAAATTGAAGTCCCATATTAGTGTTCCGGAGTTAAAGATAATTACATTTGCATTAGGACAGATTCTGCCTCAGTGGACAGGGCAGAAAGACTGAAAAGGAAAACAGTTGATGAACAGTGGCAAACATTGAAGGAGATATTTCAGTTCCTTTGACTAAAATATATTCCAGTGAGGAAGAAAGTTCTTAAAAAGAGGAAAAGCATCCATGGCTAAGCATGGACATTAAAGAGAGCATGAGGGCAAAAACTAACGCGTGCCATATTGCAAAGGGTAGTGACTGTCTGGAGGATTCAAAGCTTTTAAAGACCAACAAAAGGTTACTTTAAAAAGTAATAAAAAGAACAAAAGTTAATTGTGAAAGACTCGTGCAGAATATCAAGATGGATAGCAAAAGCTTCAATGAATATTTAAAAAGGAAGAGAGTTGCTAAAATGAATGTTGAATCCTTGGAAGATGAAACTGGGGGAGTTAAAAATGGGGAACGTGAAATGTCGTAGACAGTAAATCAATACTTTGCCTCAGTTTTCATGGTAAAAGACACTGAAACCCCATCCAAATAATAAAAGCAGAGATTAGAGAAAAGGAGGCACTTAAAATAATTGCCATCACTAGGAAAATGTACTGAGCAACCTACTGGGATTAAAAGCAGGCAAGTTCTCAAGACCTGATGGCCTACGTCCTAGGGCCTTAAAGTGTCAGCAGAGATGATGGATCCATTGGTTATAATATTCCAATATTCCTGAGGGTAGGTTCCGGTGCTTTGGAAAAATGCTAATATAATGCTCTTAGTCAGAAAAGGAGGGAGGCAGAAATTAGAAACTGTAGACCAGTGGTTTAGCGTCTGTTGTTGGAAAATTGTTGGAATCCATTATTAAGGAGGTAGCAACAAGACCATTTGGAAAGTCAAATTGCAGTATGTCAGAGTCAGCATGATTTCATCTAAGCTAAATCGTTTTTGACTAATTCACTGGAGTTCTTCGAAAATGTAACAAGCAAAGTAGATAACGGGGTCCTGTAGATGTAGTATATCCAGACTACATGGAAACATTTGATCAGTTTCTGCACAAAAGGCTAATGCGTAAGGTAAGATGACGTGGTTAGGGGTAAAATGTTAGCTTGGATAGAGGAGTTACTAACCAACAAAAAGCAACGAGTCGGCATTGGTGTATCTCTTTCTGGTTGGCATGCTGGTTTGCCACAAAGTTCAGTCCTTGGGTTCCAACTATTTACAATCTATGTTCATGACTCGGATGCAGGGATAGGATTACTGTAGCCAAATTTGCAGATGATGCTAAAGTAGGTGTGACAGTTAGTTACAATAAAGAAATAAGAACCTTATAAGTAGGTTAGGTTAATAGACCAAAATTTGGCATTAGAGTTTAACGTGGATAAGTAAGGTTATCCACTTTGGTCAGAAGAATAGAAAGATAACTTATCTAAATGGATAGAAACTTCAAAATTCTTCCTGCAGAGGAATCCGGATGTCTTTGTGTATGAATTACAGAAAACCAGTATGCAGATAGAGCAAGTAATAAGGAGGGGAGGACAAATGGAATTTTGCCATTTATTCCGAAAGAAATGAAGTACAAAATCAGGGAAGCTTTGTCATAATGGTACAAAGTATTGGTGAGAGTGCACTTCGAGTTTTGCATATAGTTTTGGTCCCCTTACTTGAGGAGGAATATAATTGCATTGAAGGCAGTTCAGATAATGTTCACTAGATTAGTTCCTGAGATGAAAGACTTTTCCTGTGAGGAGAAATTGAGCAGTTTGAGGTTGTACTCTCGGATGAGAGGAGTTCTAATTGAGATATACAGCCATAGTTTTAGGCAATGGGGTAAGCAGATTTAAAACTGAGACAAGGAGAAATTGCTTCTCTGAACCAGATGGGTTTTTCTGACAATTGTAATGGTAAAATTGACTGGTCAATTGCCATGGTCATCATTAGATTCTTAATTCCCAGATTTTTATTGTCTTTTAGGGATGGAAACTGCTGTCCTTACCTGGTCTGGCCTACATGTGACTCCAGACCCATAACTGCCCTTTGTGCAATAAGGGATAGGCAGTATATACCTGCCCAGGTAGTGACTTCCTAATCTTGGGACTGAATAAAAAAAAATTGCTTCTGGACCTTTTAAAACTAAACTCCTTAGACTAAGATAACCTAGTTCTTAACAGTTTAGGAGCAGGTGTCTTTTTTACCTCAGCTTCAGCCAACACTTCTGCAAACTGCTACACTCCAAAGCCTTTCTTCAAGCAATGGGTGTTTTCCTTAAGCCCAAAAACAATTCCAGAATATTTGAACTGAAGCCTCCACTCATCACTATTTATTCTGTTCACTCCTAAAGCTCTGTCAATGTAAACAAAATCCCAGTACTGTGCATGATGTCTTTCTCTCATTGGCAACAGAAATACTTGCAAATACTTTAATGAATAAAACCCCTTCAAAGACACATCCAAGCCATGTGCCACTAGTTCAAAATCTCAAATACATGATATTAAAAGACATATATTTTCTTTATGTATAAAAATAAAGAATAGGTCCTATGATAGGTTGAGTAAATTGAATCTGCATTACATGGAGTTAAGAATGAGAACTGATTTCATTGAAGTGTACAAGATTCTTAGGGTAGACACTCGGAGATTATTCCCTCTGGTCAGAGGATCCAAAACAGTCATAGTCTTGGGATAAAAGCCCAATCATTCAAGATGAGACATTTCTTCACTTGAGCAGTTGTACATCTTTGGAATTCTCTACCCCGGAGGGTT